GGTGGGTCAGTGGGTTAAAGCCTCTGCCTTTGGCTCAGGTCATGATCTCAGGGTCCTGGGATCGAGCCCCACATTGGGCTCTCTGCTCAGCGGGGAGCCTGCTTCCCTCTCTCTCTATCTCTCTGCCTGCTTGTGATCTCTGTCTGTCAAATAAATAAAATCTTTAAAAAAAAAAAAAAAAGAACATACATTCTAGTAGAGAAGACAGACAATACACAGATACACAGATATATAATGTCAGAAAGTGAGGAGTGCTATGGAGAAAAGTAAAGAAGGGTAAGCAGATAGAGAATGATGGAGACTATTCTTTTAGACAAGGTGTTCAGGGAAGACCTCTGACTTAGGAATGTTTCAGAAGAACATGTGCTGTCCTGCTTCAAGAATTGTTAAAGAATGCTTTCCCAATGGTGACTTTGCTACTGAATAAATATGAAAGAAGCTTTAATGTTTATATTGAAAATGCTCTTTTTTCTTAAGTTGGACACATTGTCTCAAGTAGAAGAAGAGTCTCTGCTAAGAAATGATCTTCGTCCAGCCAACAAACTTGCTAAAGGAAATAGGTTATTCATGAGATTTGCTACAAAAGGTAAATGTGATATTTGGCATTAATTTTTAGTTTTATTCTAAGTCATGTATTTTTGAGTGACATCCTTTTCTTTTGAAGAGGAAGTTAGGTCAAGTAATCTCAAAGTCCCTTCAAACTAGAATGTTCTATGCTTGTGAAATGATGGCTTGCTGCCTGAATTGAATTTTACACTTTGAAGGTGATTGTTAGCTGTTTGTATACTTTTGTGATTTCTGGCTAAATTAAGTTATTTTCTCTTAAAGCTAGTTTGTTCTCTGTGCTTTTCAGCCAATTTATCTTCTGAACTATGAAAACATTTTTAAATTACTTTCTTATTCACCACAGCAATATCCTCGTGGACATTGCTAGTAGTGCCAGTCAGCCTTATCCTCTAAGGACCTAAAAGCCTCCTAGGCTCTCTGTGCACAATGATTCTGGTGTGCATTAAAATATATATGAAATTTGAATATGGAATACACTTCTGGTTCATTTTTCTTGACTGAGACATGTTTAAAGAGTCTAGGCTCGTTATTTTATAGACTGCCCCTCAGTTTGTTTTTTTACTATATCCTCCTGGTTGAATCAGACTGTGCATATTAGGCAAGAGTACCACAGAAGTGCTGTTGTGTCATTTGCAGTGCATCATATCAGGACACACGTGATATTTACTTGTCCTGTGTTTGGAGATGTTAGCTTTTCTCACTTAGTTAAGGTAATGATTGCCAGGTTTCTCCTGTTTTCTGTTTGTAATACAAAAATTGGCAGGAGCTACTTTGAGATTATGTAAATAGACTTTGGTTCATCATACTTCCACTCAGCATCCATTGATGACTTTTTAACTCTACATTTCTTTATTAGTTGGCATTGTGCTTAAGGAAAACCTTTTTCTTTTTACCCATTTATTTACTTATTTACTTAATTGTACCATTTAGGTTCATGAGTCTTATTTTATTCAGTGGGTTATTCATTCATGTCTTTGTTTTGATTTACAAATCTTCTTGGATTTGGCCAGTGGAGCCCCTTCAAGCTGTATTATTTTGACATGCCTTCATGATTCTTTGAACACTTTCATACTTTATGGCACAGTAAAACATCTTGTTTTTCCATACTCAACATGTACTATCCCTGTCCCAGATCTGAAATCAGCCATTTCTCCAAGCAGCTGGTTGCATGTCTTTTAAAGGGTGCACATACTGGCTTGTGCCACTGTTTACTTATAGCCCTGGATACGTGTGCCTTGGTATTCATCTTCTGTAATCAGTGAGTGCCTCAACGAAAATGTGTATGATCAGTGACCACCTTTTCTTTCTATTAACTGGCATTTTAACTTGATGAAAGTGATATATTCGAGATAAATGGTGCAGTGCTGTTTTCTTTAAGCCATTTTACAAAACGTCATGATAGATTGGAAAAAATGTTTTACAAGATATATGGAGTTATGTATAATCTGTTTCTTTAATACTGATTCTTTGTTATTGGAGTGTTGTCATTCAGAAACAAATGTCATCTTTCAGGGGAGCAGGAAAAATGCTACCTCTTCTAGAAAGCCCTTTTCATTCTTCAACAGCTGTAGTGACTAAAGCTCTCGTAAGCTTCCTGAAACCTTGTATGTTGTGTTATTATTGTTGTTAATAATATTTTCTCTATGAGGTCAGTCAGCTCCTTAACAGCAGCTTAACTTCATTCATCTCTATTTTGCTCCACCTGCTCTATACTGCACTGCTTTTTAGGCACTGAGAGTGAATATTTGTAGCATATCTTTCCCTTTTGTTGGCAGATTGTGCTGATCTGACCTCCGCTATGGAAAACATATTTTTAAACCATTCAACATTGTCTTCATACCAGTGGGAAATCCTAGGTAACTGTCGTAATTAATTTTTAGATGACAAAAAGGAACTTGGAGCAGCCAGAAGAAGTCAGTATTATATGAAATATGGGAATCCAAATTATGGAGGCATGAAAGGAATTCTTAGTAATTCTTGGTGAGTCTAAAACTTTACAGTAGTTCAAGTAGTACTTAAGTTTTTCTTAATCCCTCAGTTGGTATTCTGCTGTGGAATGTCAACACCATGTGTGCACTCAAAGGAAGACAAGAAGAAAGAGTTCAAGATTCTTAACTCTGGGGTAAATGGTATGAAAGGCTGAGTTTTAGTTTCACATAGAATGTCTCTGTTTCAGTACTTAACGTTCCATCAGTGTATAGTTGAATTTAATTAGTGGATTTCAAAGTCCTTCCTGTTGGTTTTTGACGATGTGCTTATTTTGGAATGTTGCAGGAAGCGAAGATATCATTCCCGTCGCATTCAGCGGGATGTGATCAAGAAGAGAGCCCTGATTGGGGATGACGTTGGCTTGACATCCTATAAACACCGACATTCCGGTAGTTGCCTGCTCAGCTCTTGGGTAGACACATGTTTGGCTCCCGAAATCATATTCTTATTCTTAATACAGTCTTTTAAGGTTCCAAACTTTATCATCCTCTCTTCCTTGCCCTCACCCTCTGCCAACATATAGGAAAGTAAGTCAAGTCACGATTAATTTTAAATTGCCCATACAAAAGAGGTCAAATGATTTAATAAAAGCTGTTCTAACAAAAAAGGCCAAATGTGACATAGGAAAAATTGAAATAAAATTTTCTATAGGAATCTAATTTTTCTACTATTAATATCAAAAGCTGCATGAAAATTTTTTGTTATTTTATCAGATGACTTGATTTTATTATTTCTTTGTCTGATGATAAAAATAGGCTGCTGTGTCTAATGTTTTATGCTTATTGGCTTGTGCACACGAATACCTCTGTTAAGTATCATGACTTGGGTTTCATTTTGTTTGTTCTGTCCTTCCTTTCCTTCTTTCTTTCTTTTGGTGCTTATGTAAGAAGCATTTTCATTATGTTTTTATAAAGATTTGTTTCTAATTTTAATCTAATCTGTAGAATTTTCTACATGCTTTGTAGAACTGCTAAGTCAGCATACAAACATGGGATAACATGTATACGTGTTTATCATTGTAACAGGGACAGGTGAAGTCTATCATTTTTATTTAATGCATATATCCAAAGTTGTATATTTGAAATCTGTATCTTTAAAAATGCACATACTTTTCTGTTACACAGTTACAGGTTTCTAATTTCAGTTACTCTAAGATATTCTTATCATATAATCTTTATATTGTATTAAGTTAAAAAGCAAATTGCCCCTAATTCTGGCACTCTAACATAAACAACTGATTTCATTTTACATTTTTCTTACTTGTCTCTTTTCATAATAAATATAATTGTTAACATATATTTTATAGTCTTCTCCCACTTAAAAGCATTTTTCCATGAACTTTAAAGTTACAATTGATTTTCATTATTCATAGTGGTTATGTTTTATAAAGTCATTGTGATCATTGATATAGTGAATACTAAACCGTTCAGAGACTCTGGTCGTACCATTTTCATCAACTGATCAATATATAACCTTCTTGGATTGTGTTTCTGTTTAAAGACATCTTATTTAATACATATTGTTGATTCATTAACATTGGACTCACAGCCAACAGCACTGTATCTCATGCTTGAACAAAGCTTATTTAACACATGTTTATTCTATAAGGCACATCACAGCCTTCTTGGGCTTAGGAACTCTAGACCGCTTTGGCAGTAGACTTAGAGGACATTTTTAAAAATTTTTAAATGAAATCAACAAAAGCCACAAAAATATGAAAAGCATGGCACTTAAGAAACTGCAAAAAGAGCACTTGTTTATAGTATGAGAGCTGAAACAAGAAACCAGAGTGTTGCCTCATTTGACCTCAGCTGGGAATATGCACATCTGGTGATTCAATTTTTTGCCACTATGCACATGTTCACAAATGACAAGAAAACAACACCAAAAGTGTTGGTGTGGAGTTACAAATAAATTTGGCTAATTTATAAATACAGAATTCATGAATAATGACAATCGACTGTACTTTAGATTACTTTATTATATTCCATCAGGTTACTAGATCATACTTTACCTAGCCATTCTTCTGTTGTAGGTATCAGGGTGGCAACTAGATTGGCACTTACATAGATAATGCTCCAGTAAGATCTTGGGCATGGGAACCCCACCTTTTGAAAAGGTCACCAATGTAGAGTAGAAAATCAGATTTGTTAGTTTTAGTGCTTTTCCTAATGGTTTTTGGTTAAATTTCTTAGGACTAGTAAATGTTCCAGAGGAACCCATTGAAGAGGAAGAGGAGGAGGAAGAAGAGGAGGACCAGGACATGGATGCAGATGACAGGGTGGTGGTGGAGTACCATGAGGAGCTCCCAGCTCTCAAGCAGACCCGGGAACGGAGCACATCTAGGCAGTCCAGTGCCAGCAGTTCAGACTCCGATGAAATGGACTATGATCTAGAACTGAAAATGATTTCCACTCCTTCACCAAAGAAAAGCATGAAAATGACCATGTATGCTGACGAAGTGGAATCTCAGTTGAAAAATATTAGGTAAAAATATTTTTTCTCTTTAGCAATGCTACCTTTTAATTTTATTTTAAATACTAATTTATAGCTTTCTCTTAACTCCTCTTCATTCTGTAATCGCTTTTATCTGTTTTCTTATCAGTCCGTTGAAGAATTTGAAAAAAGCATCCAGTTTTTCTTGTAAATACACCAGAAGTAGTCCTTGTTATAAAAAATGAGATAGTAATAGAAAGTGAAAATCACCCATAATGTCATCTTTCTGAAAATAACAGCTTAGCAATTGAATTAATAACTTTCCTGCCAATTTTATTCCTATACGTAAAGCATGGAGAATTTATATAGTTCTACAAAAATGAAGTTGTATTTATATTGTTTTGCAGTGTGCTCTTTCTGTTTAATATACTGAAGATTTCTGCTATTTTTTCACCCAGATATAGTACATTGTTTGAAACTATCGTGATTTATTTAACCAGTTCCTTATTGAAAGACATTTAGGTTTCTATTTTCTTACTGTTGCATTAACTAGATAAATTTCTTGAATCCCAGTTATTGCACAAAACTACATAAATGTTTAAAAATGTGATGTTGCTAGGAGTGCCTATGTGGCACAGTTGGTTGAGTATCCAGCTCTTGGTTTCAGCTCAGGTCATGATCTCAGGATTGTGAGATTGAACCCCACATTGGACTCAGCATGGAGTCTACTTAAGACTCTCCTTTCCCCTCTATCCTTCCCCATCCACCCCTATTCTCGCATGTGCGTGGTCTCTCTCTTTCACTCTCCAAAATAAATAAATCTTGAAAAAAAAAATTGGTTTTGCTAAATTTCCCTCCAAATAGGTTTTACTCACTTTATAACCTGTTACCTATTACTCACCAGTCTTAACCAGTCTTTCTAATTTTTGCTAATTTTGTGGACCAAAAAATAGGTATTTTAATGTGTATTTCTTTGATGACTACTGGGGATGAGCAGATTCCTGAGGGCAGATAGCATATGCACAACTCAAAGTGTTGGGGTCTAGGGGTTCTCTAAGTGTTCTTGGTAGTGTATTTGGGGAAGGGAAAAACAATTCAGTCTAATTCTTTTGTATGGCTTTGTTCATATCCTTATTTTTAGTTTTCAGAGAACTTTCCAGTGTTGAATGCTGCCAGAATAATGCTGGTGCCTAGCATGGTAGTAGATGTCTTTGACAGAGAAGTCTGCCCTTTACTGTAGACTCTTGTATCTTGACCACAGCAAAATCACAGCCTGGGTGAACAGAGATCTGTGAGCCCTTTGCAGGCCTTACTTGACGTTGTCCTAGAAGGGAGGGGACTGGGATTCATAATTACACATTCTTTGATAGTTTACAGATACCGTTTGTGGAAACCACCCTGGAAAACTCAGAAACCTACTTGCCCTGATTGATCTCTTTACAGCAGGCTGATCATATGTTATTGTAAACAAATAATTATTGGTATATGGTATTTGTGAGTGAATATTGGCTATATTAAATTGGGCTTCTTAAATTGTTTTCTCCGAAGTATATGAGATTATTGCATAGTCATTACCCTGTAGTTGAAGCTGGTTAATTGTACCTTTTTTTCCTTTTTTAAAGGAACTCCATGAGGGCAGATACTATATCCACAAGCAATATCAAAAACCGAATTGGTAACAAATTGCCAACTGAGAAGTTTGTAGATGTCCGACATCTGTTAGATGAAAAACGTCAGCACACACGTCCACGGCCACCAGGCAGCAGTACTAAGTCAGGTATTGTTCAGTTGTGTTTCTGAGCTCCAGAAAGCAAATCAGGACAGAGATAGGTCCTTGGATAAAACATTGCCAGTAATGAACTGCTGTAGTTGTCCTAGTTCATCACTTCTAAATTTTGCATTAGGTATTGGAACTTTAGGACATGAAAAATAATCATACTTTCACAGTATTAGCTTTCAATATTTTTGTTCCAGTTATTTTATTCTGTATGTCATTGATACACTTTATACATAAAGATGATAGAAATTAAGTTGAGTTGTTGGTCAAGAATTTGAACTAGATAGTATACAAGTGCAAAGTAGGTACTTGGCGATGCCTGCTATGTGCTGGACCCTGGGTTAGATGCTGTTAGAGTTAGGGAGTGTTAGAATCTTTGGAGGGGATGCAAAGTCAGCATAGAACTTAGATGGAGAAACACAAGTGCACACATTCAGGTAATTCCATTGCAAAACAGAATGGAGTAAGTGCTCTGATACATCTATAAGCTGTGGGCTGTGGGAGAATAGAGAGGAGGTAGATCTACGGGGGTGGGGGGGAATTGTGCAGGGCTTCTTAAAGAAAGTGGCTTTAGAGCAAGGCTGACGGAAGGAGTGGGATCTCTGTTAGCAAACCTGTTTTTTTGAGGTGGGAAGTAACCTGATCTTATATCTATTTTAGAAAGATAAATTTGTGGCAGGATGGGGTAGGGTAGAAAGTCAGATAAGTAACAAGGGCCTGAACTAGATCAGGGAGAGTGGAGGTGGAATGAATGAGAACATCAAACCTTGTGAAGGAAGAAGACTTGGCACTAGGAAGTGAGGGAGCAAAGGGAAAGAAGCCAAAAGGCTCAGGCCTGAGAAACCAGAAAGTTGGGGATGCTGCTCTCTGAGATGATAAACAAGATGGATGAAAGCCCCAGTACAGTGACTGGCTAATAAACATGTTGTTTACATGCTGTCATTGTTAGAGGGAACTCGAGAGGACAGATTTCTGGAGGGATTGGAAGGAGGAAAAACAAATTTGATTTGACATATCTTCCCTTGATCCTTTGGTTTTTGTCAATCTCATTACATTTACTGTTAAATATAGTAAGTTTATTAAGAATTCTTTATATGTTGAAAGTTTTCCCCTCAGGGAACTTACAGTAATGTTTGTTAGCTGAAATGTTTGTAAATTCTTTAATATGCTTGGTCCTACTTAAAAACACACACACACACACACACACACACACACACTTGCACAAAAAACAAAAAGAGCTGATTTTGTGGCAGAAGTTCCTTTCTGGAGCAGTTCTTTTCCACTGAAAGCCCCTATGTCTGACCTTTCGTAGGGGAATCCAGACTGATTATTTAGAGAGAAGGATTTTAGAAGTTTGATTTTGTAAGGCTCTTTGTCATCATTTGGGGAGATTTGGCACCAGGTCCTCTAGGGATCTCAGGTTGACAGTATGGTTAGCAAAGCGCATGTTTGGTCACAGTAATACTTTTTTTTCTTTTTCTAGATATACGCCAGCGGTTAGGAAAAAGACCGTATTCTCCAGAAAAGGCTTTTAGTAGTAATCCAGTCTTTCGGAGAGAGCCTTTTTCTGATGTACATAGTAGGCTGGGTGTTCCCAGACAAGATGTTAAAGGCCTCTACTCTGATACACGGGAGAAGAAATCAGGTTGGTAACACTTAAAACTGAGTGGGATAGGAATTGGGTAAGAGCAGACTATAGCATAGAAATACTTTGTTGGTCAAAGGCAGGAAACAGCATATGTCAAAAATAAGTTACTTTTCCTCTTCCATTATAGTCGTTGTCATAATTGTAATAATAAGGGTATGGAAAATTTAGAAAATAGGAAAAAAAACCCACCTTTGTTCTTTCTGTTGAGCGCAGATGCTTTTTAGGCTTAAGTCTCTATTCACATCTTTGTCAATATACATATTCTGCTTTGCTCATACAGGATTTTATTGTGATCATTTTTCACATTGTTAAATTCTTTATAAATAAAATGTTTAATTACCTTTATGGTGTAGTATGCTATGAAATTCTAAACACATATTTCTCTATTGTTAGATATTAATAAAGTATATTTTAAAAAGTATAGTGGGATAGTGGGCCAAATCTCTGAAAGTGTACAGTATAGCAGGCCTACCAGTTTGCAGACTTAATAGCTGGTAATGATCTGGGAATGGCCCACTCCTGGCAGAATGAAGCTCTACAGAGAATGGTGAGTCTCACCAGGGAGGGCAGGTGTAGCATAAGCAGCTTCCCAGGTGTTTCTGTTACACACGGGAGGCACACGTCCCCTAGCTGCGAGACCCCAACTGGGTCCAGATCCCTCAGTTCACAGGCAGGGATGATAGCCAGGGAAATGAGATTATCTTCCTAATGCTGCGCAGAGGTTACAAGAGCCATAGACCCCTCTCAAGAAGGGCAGTGCCCCTTCTTCCTCAGTATTACCCTGCTTCTCAGCATTGATCGACCACCAAAACTGAAATGTCTTCTCACCCAAACAGGTAGTTTATGGACGCGCTTAGGATCTGCACCCAAGACCAAAGAAAAGAACACAAAGAAGGTGGATCACAGGGCGCCAGGCACTGAGGAAGATGACTCTGAGCTGCAAAGGGCGTGGGGGGCTCTGATAAAGGAGAAAGAACAGTCTCGCCAAAAGAAGAGCCGGTTAGATAACTTACCATCTCTCCAGATTGAAGTTAGTCGGGAAAGCAGCTCTGGTTCAGAGGCAGAGTCCTGATGCCCTTGGGGCTAATGGCAGCTGCCCTAAAATCTGACATTCTCATGCAGGGTGGGGTGCACAGTAGGAACCTTTCCCCTCCCACCCCCCACAGGAGTTGGCGCCCCTCCTGCTCCTACACAGTCACCCTCAGCTCTTGCTGCTTCAGCAAGACATGTTAAGAATGTGACATGTTTTGAAGGGCATCTATCTATCTTTTGCTTCAGAGTAAGAGTTCTGGGCCCTCAGTTCTTTCCCCACTACCCCACAAGCTTTACCCTTTGAGGAGAAGGCAGCCCTCCAGATTTTGTAGACGTTTTTCTTAATATTTTTAACATTGTGTCTTTTAAAGAAATGTTTTACACAGTTCATCCAAAGAGCAGAGAACTGAACTTCTCACTATTGCCTTGGCCCTGACAGCTGTTACCAGCACCCTTTTCCCAAGAAAAGTCAATTCCCAGGTGCTTATTGGACAGCCTTCGAGGGGGAAGATGAGGGAAGCTGCCAGCTCACCCTTCCGGGACCCTAGTGTGGGGGCCGAATCTCATGGACCTGACCTCAGAGGTGCACCAGTGCCGCCCAGGTAGATAAGAGATGCAGCATCGATCGTGCTTCCGTTCCTCCCTGGGGATTTCTGTTACGGGCCTCTTAGCAATCAGCTTGAAGTGAAGATCAAGTTCAGTGCTGTGGGATTTTTAGGAACAAAAAACTGTGACTTCTGGATTTGGGGTGGATTTTTGTGCTAGGGGTGGGGTCATGGGTTAATGTTGAACAATTTTTAAGTCTGTATTATGTTTAAAAATATTAATGATTTAAAAGTTTAAATTTTTAATTTTTATATGTGAAAATACTTCCTGTTGGCTACAAGGGAAGCTCAAGTGGTGTCTTATGTGTGCTGTTAAATATATATTATATACTTTGGAAGACGGCAAGGAGAGGAGTCTCATTATTTTTAAATGATCCTAATTGTATAGTCTGTCTGTTGTATATAGTGTTCAGACTTGCTTTTTGGCCACTGTAGGAAAAAAATCCATCCATCTGAGATGGGGTCCTGTTGTTTATTATCACTTCAGAAGTGATACATTAGTATTTATTCTTTGTATTTCCAAGTTCTGGCACCTGAAGATAATTTTAAAACTGCCAAATAAGATAATAGTTACAGAGATTTTAGTTTATTTCTCATTTACTTCTAAACTCCTTTCAGATTATTTTAAAGGCAGTAGATTATTTTGTCTTCCTATTTGATCTTTATTTTGAAGTATTTAATGTTTGTATTCTTCTGCAGGCTTAAAAATAGTGTTTCACTTCAGTTCACTAGAACTTAAGAATTAGAGTAAGCCCTTGTCCCGTTGTGATATCACAACTCCTCACCTGTCTGGAGTGTTTCAGTACCTGGTATAGTCCTGGATTCTAAGGATCTTTGCTTGTGGCATTTAGAGTTGATTACAGTGTGGTGTGATTGAATGCAGAACACTGCTGCTAATAAAGGAAGGAAAGGGCTGCGGGACTTGAGAGCTGCAGCAACTGTACTGTACCATGTTTTGTTGGTTAACCTGCTTTTCACTCCCTTTGGAAAGATTAGAGGCTGTAACTATGGTATATGTTTCCTCTTCTGGAGTGGATTCTTGGAGAGAGATGGTTCTCTGCCAGTTGAGACCTAATGTTTCTGAGGTTCCTCCCTTTTTTGTTCTGTGGAGCATACAGCTGAGAGCCAGATTCTTGAGACGGGGCAAGGTTTGGGGACTTGGTAGAGTGAGAAGAAGAAGGACCTGAGAGTCGGAGACCTGGATGCCAACCCCTGGTTTCTGTTCCATCTGTCCCATCTGGCAAATGAATGGGCTGGTACCAGAGCTTCTGACTTTGTTGGTGCATCTCAGTGGTGTTTTACTCTTCCTGAAGCAATGGTTATGGTGGGCTGGCCAGCACTGGTTTCTCTTGCATGTGTGGGGAGCGTCAAGAAGGGCATGCGTGAGGTTTTGGGCAGGGATTCATCCCTATCCCATTTCCATTACAGTCTCTGGGTCTTCTAGTAGGACAGAAATATCCTTGTGGTCAGGGTCCTAACTGATGTGGTCTCAGCAGTATTTTAAAAAAGCCCTTCTTCTGTGTTTGCCAATCATGACCTTTTCCACCAGTAGTTTGGGCCCATCTATCCCATGGTCTAATAGCCCTTGCCAGTCTCCTGCTAGAGATCAGGGAATGCTTTCTGGAAAGGTGGTGGTATGTAGTCAAAACTGGGCCTTTGATCTAACCAAGAAAAATGCCTGCTTGGGCAGCCTTGCAATTCTTACAAATATACAGACCCCAGAAAAGTATCTTAGAAAATTTTACTTCCCCAAGTTACTGTTGGCCACCTCCTCTCTCGCTCTCTGGCCCACACTCAGGCACTCAGATCTTGCAACATCTTACACGTGCTCTGAATGCCCAGGCCCTTTCTTTGGAGTTTGGGAGTGAGGGTGGACTGTCAGGATGGTCCCTAAGTGGCAGCTCATTGTGCCTCGGTCCTCCTTATGTATGTGGGCTTCAGGGCTACACACTTTTCTATATTCTTCTTAGTCTTTATGCATAAGAGATTACAAATACATTTTTGCTGCTTCACAGTAATTTCAGATACCTCATTTCTGTTTCCTACTTTCCCTCTTGGGAGAGACGCCAGCTACCCAGGAGAACTTGTGGAGCTTGTGACAAGCCCTCCTCTGGCCCCTTTGTCTGGTCCCATGAACCCTTCCCTTTAGTTCAAATCACTGTCTTCTCCCACTTTATCCCTGTGACAGCCTCCTCCCTGATCTCTTCCCCATATCGCATCCCTCCATCTCTGTTCTGTGTACTACAGCTGGGATGAACTTTTGTTGTTGTTTACAGCTTGACAGCTATTATTTACATAGCATACCCCTTCACTCCTTTAAAGTATACACTTCGAGGTCACTTGGCTATCTCAGTTGAAGGAGCATGCGACTCTTGATCTTTGGGTTGTGGTTCAAGCCCCACATTGGGTGTAGAGATTACTTAAAAATAAAAAGTTCTAGGAAAAAAAATAAAGTATACACTTCAGTGGCTTTTAGTATATTCGAGTTGTGCAGCCATCACCATAGTCAGTTTTAGAACATTTTCATCACCAAAAACAAACCCTATATCCATTAGCAATCATTCCCCAGTTCCTCTCCCCTCCTGGCAACCTCTGCTTTTGGTTTCTATGGATTTGCCTATTCTGAACGCTCATGTAAATGGAGTCATACACTTTGTGGCGTTTGTGCTTGTTTTCTTTCACTAAACATATTTTTGAGGATCATCTGTGTTGTAGCCTGTATTAGTACTTCTTTTTGTTAATGAATAATATTCCATTGTATGAATACAATACATTTTATTCATCAGTTGATGGACATTTGGGTTGTTTCCACTTTTGGCTGATGTGAATTATGCTGCTATGGAACATTTATGTACAAGTATTTGTGTGGTTATGTTTTCATTACTCTTGGGTTATATAACTAGGGTGGAATTGCTGGGTCATACAGTCTGTCTTAACCCTCTGAAGAACTGCCAGACTATTCTCCCAAATGGCTGCATCATTTTCCATTTTCCCCATTAGTGTATGAGGGCTCTAGTTTATTCACAATCCTTGACAACCCTTGTTATTTCACGGCGTGAATTGGTATCTCATTGTGATTTTGATTTGCATTTCCCTGATGTCTAATGATGTTGGACATCTTTTCTTGTGCTTCAGAATGAACTTTCTTAAAGTTTTTCTGTTATTTTTCTGCGTAAAACCTTTCCAAAGCTTCACTATTGTCCTTGGAATAAATGCCAAACTCCAATGATAGTTCACAAGACTTGTCAGAATTTAACTTTTGGTATCGTTGGCCAGTTCTCCCCGCCTCCCCTGCCCTGTGCCCACTAGCTCCTTGGACCCATCTTGATCTCACCAGTCTTTCAAAATCTGCTCAGTGCTTTTCTTCCCTAGCAGTGGCACACTCCCCTGGCTCTTTCTCCCTTCTACTTAAGCTTTGCCTTCTCTTTTCCCTCATCCTCAAGGACTTAAAGACCCCTCCAGGTGGCTGCCTCCAACTTCCAGAGCCAGGTTATGGGCCCCTGCTATGTATCCCACAGTACTGCCATGAATGAGACTCTGCTCATTTTAGGGTTGGGCTATACAGTCACACCTAAGATAAAAATGGAGTGTAATCAAAATTCCACTTGGAAATCCTGGGGAAGGTGCCATGTTGAAAACCAGCATCATGGGTTCCTGCCTGTGTGGGACCATAGTTTCTTTGGTTGAGTTACAGGTGAAGTGATTGGCCTACAATGAAGGCCATATTTTGTAAAAAAAAAAAAAAACAAAAACAAAAACAAAAAAACAAACAAACAAACAAAACACTTATTTTTAGGTGTTAAACTCACTCAGGCAAGCAACTCACTTTTGAAGAGGCTCTTGGGAACTGTAACAAGCCACAGGTGTGGCAGGGCACAAGCTTACCTTAGGTGAATGGAGGTGAAACGGCCCAAATGACTTAAAATTGCTTTGCTTTTTCCTTGTTTGTTTGGTGTTTTTTTTTTTCAACTTTTTCAGGAAAATATACCATTGTGTTTGCCTAAGTGAAATGTGTGTATGATGCCAAATCTCTGTAACTATCCCCCAAAGCCAGCACACCTATACACTGAATTGTAATGTCCTATTCCTACTTTGTCTTTTTTGCTAGATTGTAAGCTCCGTGAGAGCAGGGACCAGGTCTGGTTTGTTCGTGGGGGTTTCTCTAGTCTTAGAGAAACCTGGCAGGTTATCTGTAAACATGCGGTGAATGTGTAAGTCCCCCAGCTGCAGGAACAGCTTCATTCTCTGAGGCCTTTGGGTCCTCTTACAGGATAGTCCTTGTTTTCTGACTTGTACACACGATACTTGATGTTCATGTTTTATTTTCCCTTTTAGCCTGTGAGCTCCTAATGAGCCGGTGTCTTCATGTTGTTATCTCTGTATCCTCCCACCATGCCAGTCCAGAGTAAGTAGTACTTAAAAAGTGTTTGGTAAATGAGTGAATTATGGTAACAATCCAGCTCTGACTCCTTTGCCTACAGGCTAGTCGAATTCTAGCTGACACTACCAGATTGAAAAAGATGAATATTATTTAGAAGTGCATAAACTGTACAAGAAAAAAATGTCATTAATTAGACCTCCATAAAATTCAAATTTTGGTGATCTGGCCATATCTGAGCTGAAGTTTACCTGCTGTGTAAAGAATTTGCAAGAGCATCATGTAGAATATTTTTTTGGAAAGCATTCATCTGCCCCAGGAGAGCAGGAAGGGAAGCTGGCAGCTGGATGAGAGGCCCCAAGGAGGAATTACTGAGTCAGTTCTTAGCTTTGGTTCCTATTGGAGAGGAAAGTGGTGGCAGTCCAAAGAAGGCAAAGAGAAACAACTTGTTCAGGCAGCAGCTCTTTGGCCTCCAGTAATAGTCCACCTCTCACTCGGAGCATTCTTAAAGTTACGCTGAAATGCTAACAGCCCGTTTGGATTAACATTAACAGCAAATCATGGCTTCACAGATTAATTAATTGCTGTACAAATAAATTTGGTTACGAGTATTTGCTTTTAAACTTTATATAACAGGAAGCAAATGAGAAGTTAAAGCCTTTTTTTTTTCTTTAAGAACTAAAAGGACAGAATGTTTTTGATAATTTTGAGAATATCACACTTGCTTCAAGGCAGAATGTTATTGCATAATCTGACCAATGAAAATCCAGAACTTTTCTTACATGTTTATAAAATAAATCTTAGAAGAAAAAATATGGTAGCATTTTTTTAAATAAAATTCTATGAGCATTTCACAGGATTTTTATATTCCTGGGAACAGTTAGAGAAATGCTGGCTCAAAAGCCTATTTCAGATTATGAAGCACTGAAGTGGGACTTTCTGTGCTATAAATAAAACTCTAGAGTGTGGGTGGTATTAACCTGCCAAAGTCAATTCCCTGCCCTAGGGTTCTTACCTGTTTTTGCTTCAGCAGTTCGGAGGCCCTCTTTGCGTGACCAGATTCATTAGTAGGTGAAACTTTGTGTTTCACAAATTGCCTGTCACCCTCACTACTGACTGATGTAGGTTAGTGAAGGCAAGAGTCCCACACCATTGGCAGGAGAGGAGACATGACCTTCCTATCCCTTCCTGGCTTTTTGTGTGTTTAATCATGTGGTGCATCCCCTCTTGTCATTGGCAAGGAGTACTCAGGAAGCCTAGGAGTTTGCACTTTTAGCTCAGGTAGAGTGTCTTTGGAGGTTGGTCAAATAGAATAGTGTCAGACTGGGTCTAAAGCCCTGGGGACTCATTTTTTTGCACACACAAACTGGAGAAGACTGAATAAGTCCCTTCACCTCTTTGGACCTCAGTTTCCCTGTCTGTCAGATGAAGGGCTCAGCTGGGATGGTCTCCAGGTTTCTTTCTATTGCTAATGTGAGTTCTAGGATCTTTGCTCTACTTTTGTAAAGACCATTAGAAGCCTAAGTTGAATAGGAAGGAAGTTGGGCAAGCAAGAGGCCTAAGCCCTTGGACCCTTAGTCCATAAACCAACCCCTCAGTTACAGAAGAAAAAGAGGATTCTCTCCCTTGCTTATTCCCCACTAAGCCCACCTTCCCCAACACACACACACACACACACACACACACACCCACCCACCCACACCCCAAGTGTTTTATTTGGGAGGCTTTTTAGGAGGTAGTCCATTGTATTAGTTTAGGCTGCCATAACAAAATACCATAGACTGGCTTAAACAACAGAAATTTATTTTCTCACAGTCTACAGTCTGAAAGGCCTAATGAGGGCTCTCTTCCTGGCTTGCAGACGGCCATCTTCTCATAGTGCCCTAACATGGCCTTTCCATTGGTACATGCACATGGAGAGAAAGATCTCTCTTCCTTTTCTAAGACTGCTAAGCCTATTAGGGCCATATATTTATGACCTTAAATTATCTCCCTTAAGGCCTTTAGACCTTATCTCCAAATAAACTCAAGTTGGGGCTTTATGGCTTCAACATATGAATTTGGCAGTGGGGCACACAATTGAGTTCATGACACCCAGTAATGTGAAAAATCCCAGCATATGTTTGTGAAATGAGGTCTCAGCTTTTTAAAAGCTCATGAATGGGAGGAATTTAGACCCATGGGTATGAGGGTAGGAGGATTGTAGTAGTTCAGAATCCTGATACTGGAGGAAAGCACTGAAGTGGGACTTTATGTGCTTAAGTCTTAAGTCCCAGCTCTGCCACTTACTAGCCATATGGCCTTAGGCAAGTTACTTAACCTCTCCAGTCTAGTATCCTCATCTGGGAAATCAGGATAACCAAGTAGGTTGGCTGTTAGGATGAGATGAGGGCTTTGCATGGAAGGCCCTTGGCACTGAATCTGGCATTCCCTCCTTAGTGCTCAGTCAATGGCAGTGATTCTTACTGTTCCTGAGACTTCCCCTAGGTGCCCTTTGCCAGCAGTCCTGTCTCAGTAAGTCCTCACTCTTCCAAATTTCCTCTACCCAGCTTCTCAGGACTCAGAAGGCTAATGGGTAGTTAGAACATCTTCTGTGTCCAGAGGCGATGAGGCAAGACGAGGGGAACTGCCCCGTATCCGCTGGTGAGTGCAGATATCAGAGCTTTTGACTCACTCTCAAGACAGGGAGCAGTTAGTACTTTTATCTCTTGCTGAACAGGTCTTGTCCATCCTGTAACTTTTAAGACAATTTTGAAATAATTTCAAAATTACAGAAAAGTTTCAAGGATAGGACAAAGTACATTTTGCCATATTTTATCATTCATTCTTTCCCTCCTGCCTTCTGTCCCCCCATCTCCACCTCTGAAGCATGACCTATTTGAGAGTGACTTGCATACACCTGTCCATTTACCCCTGAATATTTTAGTGTACATTTCCTAAATTTCTTAGGAAATAAGGACAGTTTCTCATATGACAATGACATAATTATCAAATTCAAGAAATGTATAATTTTACCTAATTAGTACAGTAGTATCTAATCTTTAGATACATGTTTCATTTTTGCCAGCTATCCCAATAATGTTCAGTAATGTTTTTGAAAGCTTTTTTTTTTTCCTGGTCTATGATCCAGTCCAGGATCACACTGCATTTTGTTTCCTTTCCTTAGTCTCCTTTAACCTGGAACAATTCTTTAACCTTTGTCTTATGATACTGATGTTTTTGAAGAGTTCAGCCCAGTTGTGTTGTAGAATATCCCTCAAGTTGGTCCCTTATCATTTGTCTAAAACCTATATGAGGTGCCAAACAGAAGCATTGTAGAACACAGTCTGGCTCTTTCCTTTCGAATCTTAGGTTTGGATTTGTGGGGACAGTAGTTAATCTCAGATAGGCTCAAAGGACCTGTATGTGTGCTCATGATTAGGGTTGTGCCATGCTGACACCAGCAAGCTTGGGTAAACACATCTTTGAAGAATGCAGGGTGAGTCTGCATTCTAGACGTCCCCAAAGATGCAGAAATGGCCCTGCATCCTGTCCATCCTCCAGTCATCAGCTTGGCTTGACCTCCTGAGGTGCCCTGAAGTTCATACTACAGACACGAAGTCCTGCTTTCAGAAATCTTGAGCATCTGCAGTCCTGGGTTCTAACGTGTCCCTACTGCTGATCTGCTCTGTGGCCTGGGGCTACTCTCCAACGCCTCTGGGCCAGTGATGGGGAGAGGAGCCTATCCTGGCTCTGCAAAGTGCCCCTGGCACTCCAAACAAGTGTGGGGTAGGGGGAAAGTCACTGAGCCTTGGAGTGTTAGGAAAACAGGCCAGGGGTCTGGACCACAACAAGATTAGCCAATCTGGATAGTCTTCTTTGTGATCTGGCAGGCAGATCATCAGACCTGGAACTTTGTTTCCAGCTGTTGGACAGTGTCAGAAACAGTGAATTGTAATTTCTGTTCAAGCAATCATACAGCATCAGGGAACTGTCACATTAGTTGTGGGTGTTTGTCAGACCAAAGCAGACAATGCAAGCATGTTTTAAGTGTCAGTGACCTCCACAAGACTGGCCAAGCAAACTTTCAAGGTGAGAAACAAAATAAAATTGATTTTCATCTTATTGTTAAGTCAACACCCTTGTCTGCTTTAACACTTGCATTAACACTACAGCATGCTCTCCCTGGGGATGCAGACATTCGTGTGAGAGACATAGAATCTCCTGCTTTTTTGAATGTGAATTCATTAAAATTAAATAAAATTTAAAATTCAGTTCCTCAGTTGCACTGGTAACATTTCAAGGGCTCGGTAGCCACATGTGGTTAGTGATTACTGTATTGGACAGTGCAGATCTAGAACATCTTAGTTCTGATGGACAGCACTGCTCTGCACATAACAATCTGGGAAGCGGGGACACTTCCTTCTGTGACAGATGACAGACTTGGTCACAGGGAAAATTTGACAAATTGTGAAGTTAGCTTTTAAATATGACTGCAAGCTGTTGGCAGTGTATCTTCGGGGGTGCTGGATTGAATCAGAGGTATGCTGGAAAGATTTATGGAATTTTTATGTTTTCTGTCTGGTAGCTCAGAGCTCTGTTAAGTTAGTTCCCATGTCATGGTACTATAGCTAGGTTTTAAAGAGAATGTAGCCAAGCTGAATTCACTGAGGCGGTGATTTCAGCCAGTGCATTGGGTCTTAACACTTAACAGGCCCTCCATAGCCTCAGGGCCTTGAGTCCAGGGGCCAGGTGCAGGAGCCCAGTTTCTAGCTGTGAGGGTACTTCAGGTGGGAAGGGGACCTCATTCTCATTGCTGAGGCAGCACCACTAAGGACCCTGGGCTGGGTGTTGGGCTAAGGTATCTGGTGGTAGGTTCTAGAGCAGGGCAGGAGGCTGGGACTCACTCACATGAATGATAAACATCTGGATTAATACTATTTCTGCACTCAAACATCTGATGAAGACATCCAGAGCTATGTTTAGGCTAAACCTTGTCTCACTGTTCCACGAAGTGTGGGTCATGGGGAAGGGCTGATAAGTGTCTCTGAGCTTCCAGGACCCAGCCCACAACTGCTGAGAAAGCCTCACAGCCGGCTGTGCACAAGTGGGAACATCCGTGTCTATGTGAAAGTGCCTGTCTGCCTGTGGGTCCTTGCTTCTGTGTGTGGCTGTCCCCGCCTCCTGGCCACTGAGCAGAGGAGGGGAAGCTGAATAAGCTGAGGTCCACGCTGCTGCCTCTGCTCCAGCTAGGATGTGGCTCTTCCACACTCTGCTCTACATAACCAGTAAGTCAGCCTCACCCCCCCTGTCCCGTGGGTTGCTGTGCCCTCAGCACAGCCTATCTGTCTAAATGGGGCTCACTCAGAGTGAGAGGTCAGAGACCGTAGGGAATCCCTAAGGGAGTCGCTCTTGTTTGCTGGGTTAGATCCTCAGCCTTGCTCAGAAGGGCTTCTGAGGCTGTTGGCAGTGCTGATATCCTGTGGCTTCAGACTCCAGAACTCTGCCACCCTGTTCCTCCTCCAGCCAGTTTACCCGCCCCACCCTGGGCCTTTTCCTTACACCATCCATTCTGGGCAGATCCCTGTGTCTGTACAAGTTTGTTCTCAGAGTATGGAGGCTAACGATATCCACCTTCCCCAGCAGAGCACCCTTCCATCCCAGATTGGGGCTCAGCTGATAAGGGTGGGGGACTGAGAACATGAGCATTGAGGAGAGACTTGTGGGGCAGAGGGCATGTGTGTGTCTGGTAGAAGGCGAATGTACTGGAGGACCCTGCTTCCTGTTTCTGATGTTAGGGCTAGTATGAGAAACTGTGTGTGGGTGGAGGGGTGCACTTCCTCTTCCCCCAGGCTGAGGGGTCCCATTCTGGCCTTTAAACTTACCATGGAAGCCATTTGGGGCAAGGCAACCCATGAGCCTGCACCTATCAAAAGGCCTTAAGGACGAGATTGAGCACAGTCAGGGAGCCCCTGGAGGCAGCTCAGATCAATCCGGGGCCTAGAGTGGTCCAGCATAGTGATTGGCACAAGCTTCCCCAGGGGTCTCCTGCATTGCTCAGAAGCTTGGTAGAAGAATGAGATAAACATCAGGCAGATGTTTTCAAGGCTCTTGGGAGCCTGAGTTCTCCATGAAGGATGGGTAGGGGCCAGCAACTGAGTACCAGACTGTCTGAGAAAGCTGAATTCATTGTTGGGGGGAACTCAGAGTTAGCATCCACCCTGCGGCCAGGTCACCAGGAGGCAGGCCACACATGTAAGGGACCAGCAAAGCATATGTTTTGGACACATTTTAATATTTGATATTCAAAATAATCATTATGAAAAGGTCAAAACTTTGTGAACTTCATTTTCCTTACTTTACAGTTTAGACTTCTTTTTATTTTCAGTCACATACAGAGTGTGGAGAGGGTTTCACACTTTTTATGGCTTAGGGCTTTGATCCCCCATCACCAAGTATGTCTGAAAAAGAGACTAGACTCTGGAGCCCAGAGAGGTGCAGTGACTGTCCAGAGGTACAAGCAAGTACATATAGAAATGGGGCTCAAGCCCAGGCCTCTGCCCTGACTCCCAGCTCTAGAATACCCCATGGCCTGGGGTGCTAACCTTGGCATCATTCTGAGCTCCTGCTATTCTGTTTCCAATGGCCTCAGAAATGAACAGCTGTTGCCCCAGTGCCTTTT